TTATTAGCAATAAATCCGTTTTTTTCTGTGCGCGTGGCATATCTTTAATATGTGTAACGCGATACTCAGATGCAGGTCGCGGTTGTTTCTTTCTCGCTTTATCCTGCTCGTCTTCGCTGCTGCTACTTGCGCTATCGGCGTTCCTTTTCTGTTGTCGCGATTTCTTTCGGTCGCGTATATTTTCTTCGCGCGTTTTTTGCTGATTTCCGATTTTTTGTTTATCTGTACTATGTTTCGGTTTTCCGTTTAGGCTCCAGCATTCGTCGCGGCTGTGTCCTGTTCTTTTGCAATGCGAGCAGTATTTACTTATTGCGTTTATTCGCGAGGGTTTTTCCGGTTTCGGGAGCGCATATCGGCTACTTCGACAATCGCGTCCGTAATGTCCGTTTTTTCCGCATTTAAAGCATTGCGGTGTCGGGTTTCGACTATTTCGCGGGTAACTTGATTCGGTTTTATTTTTATTAACAAAACTACTCGTTCTCGCGGTTCCCGGTCTGAGCTTTTCTTCGGCGCTCGCGCCCGTTATCGCTTCTTGGAGCGTCGTATATCGCTGCGCGCGTACGAGCACTTGTAATTCGATTGCATAGTCGGAAGCATCAGTGGTCACTATGAATTCTTGATTGAAATCTGGATACATTAGCACTGGCGCTGTCATTAATCTTTCTTTTAGTATTTCGAAAGCATTTTGCTGTTCCATAGTCCACTCAAATTTTTCCGTTTTCTTCGTTAATTTCGTCAGTGGCTTGGCTATTTTTGAAAAATCTTCTATGAATTTTCTGTAATATCCGGCTAGTCCTATGAAAGATTGTATATCTTTTACTTTCTTCGGCGTCGGAAATTCCTTTATTGCCGTTAACTTTGACGGATCCGGAGATATTCCATTCTCCGAAATTATGTGACCTAGATAAATTACTTCCTTGCGCAAAAATTCGCATTTATCTGGTTGCAATTTTAGATTATTTTCTCGGAGTCTCTGCAGTACTTCCTTGAGTCTTTTATTGTGGTCCTCTAGGCTCGCTCCATATATGACGATGTCGTCTAAATAAACTAGACATTTAAGTCCTTGCATTCCGGTTAGAATTGAATTCATTAGTCTCTGGAATGTTGCTGGCGCATTTTTCAATCCAAACGGCATTCTATTAAATTCGTAGTGTCCGTAGGGCGTTGAAAAAGCTGTCTTTTGTTTATCTTGCTCAGCCATCGGTATCTGATGATATCCTGACGCTAAGTCTAGTGTGGTAAAATATTTAGCGTTTCCTAACTGGTCCAGTATCTCGGTGATATTGGGCAGTGGAAATGAATCGCCTATTGTTAAATCGTTTAGCTTCCGAAAGTCTACTACTACTCGGAGCTTAGGTTTTCCGGATGCGTCGGCCTTTTTCGGTACCACTAATAAGGGTGCGTTCCATTGACTCGCGCTTGTTCGGATTATGCCATTTTTCAGCATTTCTTGCACTTGTTTATTTACTTCCGTCTTGTGCTTATCGGGAAGACGATACGGTCTCGTGTTCACCGGCGAGGTATCAGCGCGCGTGTTTATCTCGTGCTCTACCGTCGCGGTGCACGTCAGTGGTTCTCCGTCCAACTGAAATGTATCGCAATATTCTTCGCATATCCGTAGGAGTGCCTGTTTTTCTTCCGTATTTAAATGTTGCGTGCGTAGTAGTTGTCAGATTTGTCTCGAGCTAGTAGGCTTAAAATTTTTTCTTGCTTGTATCGTGTGTATTTTGGATTCGATTTCGCGTTCTATGTCTTCGAGTGTGACGTTCGGCGTCTGTATCTCGACTTCCGTATCGGTTGTATTTATGATACTAACGGGACACGTGTAATCCTTCGGTTCTACTAAGCAGTTTCCAAGGTAGATTCCTGGAGCTGTTTCCTCTGCTCGTACTATTCCTATCCGATTTTGCTTCGTTATCGCTTTTACGATGGTTTCGCTGCGCGGTTTTAGGATTGTTTTGTTAAACGTATGGAATCTTAGCACGGCTTCTCCTATTTTTAATTGATTTTGATTATAATCACAGGATACCGAATGTTGTTGAAGGAAATCAATTCCTATTATTCCTTCATATTCTATTGGAATGTCGTCTCTTACAACGTAAAATGCATGTTTTACCTTGTGATTTTCTATTTTAATCGTGGCGTACATTTTTCCTATGGTGTGTGCTTTATGCCCGGTTATGCCTGTAAGCGCGATTTAACCTTCATGTATTAGTGTGTCATCCTTCAAATGTTTCAATTTTATTAATGAGATGGTCGACCCTGAGTCGTACAACATCTGTATTTTTCCGTCTTTTGCTTGTCGCATTGGTAATATTATTAGCAATAAATCCGTTTTTTTCTGTGCGCGTGGCATATCTTTAATATGTGTAACGCGATACTCAGATGCAGGTCGCGGTTGTTTCTTTCTCGCTTTATCCTGCTCGTCTTCGCTGCTGCTACTTGCGCTATCGGCGTTCCTTTTCTGTTGTCGCGATTTCTTTCGGTCGCGTATATTTTCTTCGCGCGTTTTTTGCTGATTTCCGATTTTTTGTTTATCTGTACTATGTTTCGGTTTTCCGTTTAGGCTCCAGCATTCGTCGCGGCTGTGTCCTGTTCTTTTGCAATGCGAGCAGTATTTACTTATTGCGTTTATTCGCGAGGGTTTTTCCGGTTTCGGGAGCGCATATCGGCTACTTCGACAATCGCGTCCGTAATGTCCGTTTTTTCCGCATTTAAAGCATTGCGGTGTCGGATTTTGACTATTTCGCGAGTAACTTGATTCAGTTTTATTTTTATTAACAAAACTACTTGTTCTCGCTGTTCCCGGTCTGAGTTTTTCTTCGGCGCTCGCGCCCGTTATCGCTTCTTGGAGCGTCGTATATCGCTGCGCGCGTACGAGCACTTGTAATTCGTCGTGTAGCCCGATCTGGTAATTTATTAATGCCTGCGCTTGGATTGTTTGTTGAATCGTGCGTTTCGATAATGCGGAGTGCTCCTTTCCTTCGATCATCGAGTCGTATAATTTCATTGCTAGTAAATCAACGCGTTGTCCGAAAGCGTGCGCAGTTTCATTCGACTTTTGTTTTAGCGAATTGAATTCAATCTGTAAATGTGTCGTGCTTTGTTTTGACTGGTAACAAGTCTCGAGTTGCTGCTTTAATTCGTCGAACGTTTGTATATCTCGCGTCTCAAAGTCCTGCATCGCTTTCCCTTTTAATTTTGTAAATAAGATGGCTTGAATTAACGATTCTTCATCTGCTGGGTTTATGTTTTGAACAGCGTATTTGCACGCGTTTAAAAATTCTTGCAGTTTATGTCGCGAGGTTCCGTCGAACTCGGGGATCATTATTCTCGCTTCCTTTAACGGTAGATAATTCGGGGCGACGCTTCGTCGATTTCTGATATCGCGTCTCGTTCGCCCATATGTTGTTTCAAACGCATCGTTATCGTTTTCCCTGCTAGTGTCTGTATGACGGGGTAATTGTGCGTCCGCGCTTTCTAGTCGCGTTACTCGTATATTTAACGAATGGATATCCGCGCGTATTTCATTCAAAATGTGGATTATCTGTGTATAATTTCCTCTTTCTTCGCGGTTGATCTCGGGAGGCGGCGTGCGGTCGGCCTCCGCTATATTTTGGTCCATTTGGCGGATGGATTGCCGCATGTTTTCTATTTCCTCGTCTACCGCGCTTTTCGGCGGGTTCGCGGGAGTGCGTTCTTGCGGATTTCGCGATTCGGCCATATTATTTTCCTGTTGGCTATAAATCTCTTCCGGATCGAACAGGTCGCTCTCGTAGGATGTTAACGAAAATTCGCGTCATAAAGATACTCTACTTGGAGTTCTGCTAATATACGGTCGCGTACGTCTAGTCTCGCGTTGGGTGTTGTCAGTGGGGTGAGTCGTATTACGCGGGAGTAGGTTTTCGTCCAAATTGTTTAATGGAAATTCGCGTTCTGTGACAACGTTTTCCGGTAACTCGGGCTCGCTTTCGCTCGAGTATTGCGTTTCTAAGTTTTTCCACTCGTTACAAAGATTTTCTCGCGGTATTAAGCTTAATTTAATCGCTCGTCGGGCTGGTTCGCTCAGTAACCATGATCGGTTCGCTATCGGTTTCGGTATATTCGAACCTTCCGACATTCACGCAGTGATAATTATTAAATTTTTTCGGACTTACAATATTATGACGGCTCGCATGATCGCTCGCTGTGTTAGTAGGTCGCTGACGCTGCAGTCCTTCGCTCGGCGGCTGATACGGCTGATGATGCTCGTCGTACGGCGGTCGTTGTCCGGCGTCGGTGCGTTGTCCGTGGTGTTATCGTAGGTCGCGATAGTTGGCGGCTCACGTTTCTGCTACAACTGTTGTGGCGATGCTCGTTCAATTGTCCTTGCGTTGTCTTCCGTCGATTGTGGTTTCCGTCAGCTTACGTTTTACGTGTGCTGGCGTGCCTGTCCTGTTTACACCCTGGGTGCTTTGCAGGTCTTGGGGAAGGCTTGTTGCTTCCGTCCGTCAACTTCAATTGAATTGATTGGAGGAGCAATTTGGAATTATTTTACTTCAAACAAGAAAACGGAATGGATTTATTATTTCTAATTTTTATTTTTTTATCTCATTATGCGTTAATCCATTCCGTTCTCTTGTTGGAAGTAAAATAATTCCAAATTGCTCCTTCTGATATTTAATATTTTATTCCTATTCCTAATATTTTCTCTATTGTGCGCAGGGCCTAAAGCCCGTATCAGACTACGCATTGAAAATTGAAGATTGACGATTAAAGATTGGAATTTAACTAATCAGAACAAAAGGAACTAAAATTTCCTTGTCCTGATTGGTCAAATTTCAATCTCAATGCATAGTCTAATACGGGCTATAAGGGCCAATTTCGGGCCAATTTCACCAAGCTCAGTTAGATGAACCGACGGTTAAAATTAGCAGGGTGGCCAACAGAAAATAGAGGTGAAGAAAAACCAAGTATTCATATCATTTCAGTTGGAACGATCTTGGATATAAGAACAAACTATGAATGCCGGCCATAAGAAGAAGAAGAAGTCCATGAATATATCTATGATTTCCTCGATATGACAAGTTTTGTAACCTAAATAGTCGCCAACTTTAACTATTAATATTTCGCTTCGTGGGGCAGAGCGATACTTTTTGCTATATTTTTTCGTTTTATGCAAAACATCGAATGAGCATAATTTTATCGATATTTGAGGTGGGGCCGATAAATTGAACAATTATCTAGATATTAATTATTGTGCTAGTCATGAAAAGATAAAGAACATTATTGTACGAGAATTTCTTACATAACTGAGCGAATTTGTTTCGTAAATTGATGGTTTCAAACACGCAATTCGTGCACATGAGGTGTTACAATTTCTTTTTATATTTTATTACAGATAAAAAAAACGTATGATTCAAGGATTTCTTTGATAGATCATAAAACTGCAACATGTTGGAAAACATGAACAAGGAATTGGCGTCTATAAAATCACATTATTTTCTTTACAATGCTGGTGAGTTGAATTGAAATTCTACATCTTCAATCATTGTGTTATATATAAATGTCTCTTGTGTTTTGTATTGATTGTTGTTTATTTACAGCGACAGCACCAATGGTACAATTTTTGCCAACAATCGGAAAGCAATTAGGCTTCTCCGGAACATTAGTTGGCACAATGTATACAGTATTACCAATTTCTGGTCTAATCGCGAAACCATTGTTTGGTAGTTTAGCTGACAAGTTTAAATTGCATAAAACTTTTTTTTTGATATTCCAAGCTGTATTGACAATAGCTTTCTTTTGTATTTATTTTATTCCTGAAATGGATAGGAACGCAAACGTTACTCTTATCTGTGACAATAACATACCATTTCTAGAGATTTGTCCACAGAAAGAATTTTCACCAAAAACATTAAATGCTGTAATAGTAAAAAATATCCATACTAACTCAGTTTGTCAGGTGTGTATAAATTGAATATAATTTTTCGTCCTATGTATTATTCTTTTGTGTATTAAATATATAGCAAAATTTTTTTTATAAATATTTTTTTATAGTTATCCTGTGAAGGAGTACCTCATGGTTACATAGAATTATCTGGCAAGAATGTTTCCATGAACAGTACATTCAAATTTAGTGCACAATTTGATGTATATCAAGATTTACTTGTAAGAGAAAATTGCTATGGAATATTTTGTCTGTTCTGTGGAAATGACATTAATATCTTGTCGCAAAAAATAATTTACAGACGAGCAACTGTGTAGATGTAAAAGTGCATATGTTTCTGGATGATGTTACTCAAGTTCCAGTTTGCGGGGACCGACTGAGAACTAAATGCATGGCAACCTGTCACAACAACATTGCATTTAATCATCTTTTACAAGAGGCCAAGAATTCGCACATTGATACAGAACAGTCTATATATCATTTCTATTTATTTTTTTGGACAGCCATAGTAAGTTGGATTGGAATGGCTGTCGTGGTCAGCATAGCGGATGCCATTTGTTTCGATCTGCTTGGTTTGTATTCATAACGCGTTTAACGTAAATAAATAACACTGATTTTGTGAAATGGCTATTTTTTCATATCATGAACTTCAGGTTATGAGAGGAGAAGCGATTATGGGAAGCAAAAGATGTGGGGCAGCATCGGTTTCGGCATATTTGGTATAAGCGCAGGCTACCTAGTGGACCTTGTGAGCGAAGGACAGTATGAAAAAGATTACACTTGTATATTTTACATTATGCTGATAGCTATGATCGCTGATATCATTGTAGTTGCTGTAACATTGAAAAAGGTATAAATGATTCCTAAATATATATAATTACATATACGAATTAGAATTAAGATAATGCAGAAGTTTGGTATACTTCTTGCTTATCAAAATAATCCGAAATTGGCAAATAATGGGAGAAAGCAGTATCATTATAGAAAAATCCAGAATGCTCTACGGGTGAACCTTCACTATTTCGGGAGCTATTGAGTGTTGTCAGAGAAGGCAGAGTATTGGTGTTTGCCTGGTGGTGCATAGGCGCTGGGATGTGTACAGCAGTTATTTGGAACTTTCTGTTTTGGTACAGTGAAGATATAGCAACCAGCTCTCATATTGCATGGATTAAGACTCTGCAGGGTCTTATGACTGGCGTTCAATGTTTCTTAGGAGAATTACCCTTCAATTTTGTGTCGGGTAGTGTATTGAAGAAACTTGGCCACATTAATGTCATGAGTCTCGTGTTGCTCATTTATGCAATTAGGTAAGAAATCAAAAATCTTTAAATCTTGTTACATATAATTTATTATTTTTACATTGTTCTATGATAAAAATATCGATGTACCGTCGCAGATTTATGGCATATAGCGTTATATCAAATCCTTGGCTGTTTTTAATTCTTGAATTGCTCCATGGACCCTCGTTTGGTCTATGTTGGCCAACAATGGTGTCCTATGGTGACAAAGTGACACCATCTGGTACCAAAGCTACTATGCAAGGCTTTGTCGGTGCTATCTTTGAAGGAATTGGTGGGTCATTAACTTTATATTGCATAAGAATGTTTCTTTTTTTTTTTGTATATATCTTAGCATAATTCTTTATTCCTTTTAGGAGTGGCAAGTGGTAGCTTCATATGTGGTTGGTTGATGGACACATTTGGAGGTGTTATATTACTAAGAACGTTTTCAGTAGGTGCACTCTTATGGTTGAGCGTATTTTGGTTGCTGGAACTCTTACTGAGGAAAATGAAGGCTAATCCATTATATCGAGGCCATAGTCGTGAGTAACGATTATGTGGATGTATATCAAAGTACATAGTAAATGAACATATTATTTTGAGATTCATAATTAAAACATATTGTATTCATAAATATTTAAAAAATTATATATTAAAATTATAATATATTAAAGAATCTGTCATCAAAATTGCAAATTTTTGAATATTCTATACATTGCATGTGTGTTAAAAAAATTTGCACTTTAATTAATATTTATTATAGCCATTTTTTCTTCCATATTTCACAATGTTTTTCTTATTATCATTTTTCAGATTTAGCAAATTATGCTAATCCAGACGATGCTATTCTTATGACGATAAGTCAAGAATTGCAAACCTATTAATAGAGCAATTTTATGTGAGATGAAAATATTGCACAGTTGAAATTGAACAAAATTAATTTTTCATTGCATATGCACCGTGTGCTGAAAGAAATATTTGTCTCGTGATATTTTGTCTTTTTATAATATTCACAAGATTTTCAATCATTCAGTATTATATGTCATAAGTGTAAATTATATTGATGTATACAATATCATTGTAATATATATTTTTCTAGATTATGTTTTTCGTTTATTTACCTTTGTATATTTACGCGTGCCATAAAGATGATAATGATTCCAAATTTCACAAAGATAAAAATATCACAAGTTGATAGCTGTGTGTATGATTATATATATTATACACACACTCGTACGCGCACACATGTATGTATGTGTATGTATGTATATGGAACATCAGAATATAAATTGTGAAATTAATAACATATCATATAATAAATATTCAGATATTTCGAATATTTAAGATTATGATCAATAAGTGAAATTTTCTATTAATTCCCGGATCTCTATGCGGGAAAATAGTTGATAGTGGATTTTACATATAGCATTGCAGACCTTTAATAGAAAAATGTAGTTGTCAATGAAAAGAGCGAATACTGAAATGTTACAAGGGAAAATTTCTGTGCATAATACGATTGAGAGAGAGAAAGAGATTAAAAAATTATCAAAATTGGTCAGCAAAATATCTCAACCATTTATTTTCACTATGAATCCATTTTCCAGAGATTACTGAATAACAAATTGTTATAGAGCATGCCTTTTTGATCGCAATCAGTTAATTAGCAACTTTCTTCCGAATCTTGTCTAAATTCTATCAATAAAAAGCTACAAATAACTTTTCTCATACTGTTCGTACTGCAACGTGTATAATCTTCGTGTAAATTCCGTGTATATCGTTTACCGACGATACATGAAACGGTTTTTGCTTTCCAGTGGCATTTAGTCTTGTTTCGGCATCGATAATCGTTGGGTGAGGGAACATGACGGCGAAGTGGCTCGACCGCTATTCGAGGGTTCTATCATAGCTTGCAGATTGGAGATTTCGCCTGTCGCGGTCTCGCAACAATCGTTCATGATGATTCCGCCGCCTGGATGGATGAACGCGAGGCTGCCCTCGCTGGACGAAGCCAAACTGGTCGATAGAGGCGGTGATCGTTCTTTAGGCGACGCTGAGGAAGCGGGATTTGCCATGAGCGAAGCATTGGAACACGTAGCGGTCTCCAATTTGCCGTGAAGCTCGAGTATACGACCTTCCAGTAGCAGATTGATCTCCACCTGCGCTCGATACTTTGATTCGACAGCTCCCAACTCGAACGCGTGCTGCTCCTTCGTTTCTTGTAAGAGTCGTTGCAAATCCACTAACTGAGTCTCTTTGCGCGCTTCTTTATTTTCTAACTCGCTTAAACGTGCCTTCAGTGCTTCCAAGTGCGATGTTCGCGATTCCAACTGTCGCCGAATATCTACAAAAAGAATTGATGATATGTGTGTAATTTGTAGCGTGCAGGAAACACTAGTTTTAATTTTTTTTTTTAATCTGCACATTCGAACGCTTACTATTTAATTCTTCTGTATAAGATTTTTGAACTTGTGTCGCTTCTTGTTTAACCGTCGGTGAAAGAATACTTGTATTTTCTTCAAGTCTTAATTGGGCCTATGCAAAGGTAAAAGAAATGTGTCCACAATTATTTCTCGTATAATATGTAATAACAATTTTTTACAAGTAATTCAACTGAAATTTTCATAACTAATTCACATTATGCTAAGATAATTTTTTAGTTCGAAATTTATACAAATCATATACTGTATAAATCATACCTCTCCTAGAAGTACAAATTTTTTCTGCATAATATCCACAATGCGTTCCAGTTCTTTACCACGATCCGCAGCTTTTAGAGCTGCTTTTAATTGGTGTCCCGCATTGAATAGTTCCGCCTCGGTAGAACGAAGTTGTTGTTGTATTTCAGTCGCTTTTTTTTGTTCGCTTTTCAATTCCAATTCAAGACATTCTAAGCGTTCCTTGAATGCATGACTTTGTCGTTGTTCTTCGATGCACTATATGCATAATAAAAGTGATTAGTCTTTTTTGTATATTTTTTTCAATGTCATAAAAATAAATATATATTTTAAAAAGTCATACTTTAGTTTGCCAATGATGCATAGTTTCTTTGTATTGTTCCTCAGCTTGATGTGCTTCCTTTTTATTATGTTCCAGTTGTGCTTTCAACGCTTCCACTTCTCTTTCTACCATTTTTAACCGATCGGTCTGCAAGAGAAATAATGCCAAATCTATTATCCAAATTGCGCATAAAAATTTGAATAAACGTTATCGCATGAAAAGAATTATCAACGGACCAAAGCAAGATTATGCTCTTCCCTCGATTTACCGAGCAAACGTCGATTACGTTCGGCATGGACCTCTCGTCTTTGCCTTTCAAATTGCAGTTGCATTTGCATTAATTGAAGTAATTGATTAGTGCAGGTTGGATCTATACTATCATCGTCTCCTCCTTCTTCTTCTGCATCCTCCTCCCCTTTTTTCTTTTGCCTCTGCCTGGTATTGTTTGTTCCTGTAATAAACCACTTTGCTTGTCAGAGATATTTTCATTCTTACACGTTATATGTATGTTATTTTATATTTACTCGTTTTGTTAGAGAAGTTATTCACTCTTGTACAAGTCTCGATATACTGATCGAGCATGCTGATTGGTGATAGTCTTGAGTCAGAGCCCTCTTGGCTAAAATTTTGGATATTCTGATCTAACACTCCCAGGAAAAGATATTCATACGGAAATAGATCACACGTTTGAATGCTGACATCCTCGCATTTCGCCGTTCCTATTAATTTGGTTGGATTTATTACGTCTTCGTTATTACATTTTTTCTGCATTTCCATATCCGGACAAGATTTAGAGTGCCGAATCTGCGAGAGAGAGCATTTTTTCGATCAATTATTATAATTGTTGCAATGCAAATTGTAGTTGTATATAATAATCTTTGGGGAAATTTTTCATGTTCTTTTATATTCCTACTTTGTGTGTTACATTTGAATCCTCCGACGGGAAATGACATTGAGAATATAGTCGAAGTTCATAAATTTTTTGCGATATCGAATCGGCCAGAGCACTAACTGTATTTTTGTCATTTCGTGCTTCGGATTGTAATTCGACGTATTTTGGCATTTCAATTGTTCCATTTCCATGTGAACTAACTATCTCCAGTACCTATATTATAAAATTATATATAATATGGTTTTTGTTTTGTTCTTTTTTTATTCAATATAAATGATCCATTAGATAAATTGGAATTAAACCTCTTGATCTTCTTGCCAAGAATCATTCTTCCCGTTTTGACTTATCGCCATGTCTAAGAGCCTTCCATTTTCTTCGTTATTACTCACTAATTTTTGTGGCTGTTGAAGAACACTTTGTCTATCGGTCATAATCTTACTTAGTCTATGCGACAGAAATCCATGTGCATTTCCTACGATATCCATGCTTCTCACTGCACCAGTAGAAGAGGAATTTATCGAAGTGGGCGTTGATGGCCGAGAAGATGCACTGTTGCTCAACGCATTTAGAGCACGAACTGCATTAGATCCCAAAGGCGCTTGCCTCGTTGTTAATTTTCGTAGATCCTATATAAGATGTAATAAATATTTTTCTCTCTTTCTCTTTGAGAACACATGTATAAGAAAATTATTTTCATATACCTTAACAGGAGTAGTTTCAGGAGTAGCTTCGATAGCAGCCTCGGGCGGTGAAGTACCACTTCTATTATTATTAGGCGTCGGCGGGGCAGAGCGTGGCTCGTGGGATGTATTTTGAAACGGTGGACTATGTGGTGACACTGCCATGCTGGGTGACCAAAATGTATCATCTTCCCCATTACTTATCTCTACAGTTGTTACTCCTCCGCAGATATTTATCGACGCACAAGTAGTGGAAGATTGATCTGCATAGGTAAACAGGTACATAAATAAAACATAACTTTTTACATTATTTTAAAACATAACTTTCTGCATTTTTAGATATGAAGATGATAATGTTAACCTAGAGGTGGAGTGCACCGAGAATTAACTACGCTTAAAATTTCTTCTCGCCATTTGTCTAATGTAAAACGGCCACATTCTATCACAATATCGTGATGTTCCATCTTTTTCCACCTATTAAATGGAAAAGAAACGACGTATAAGAGTAACCTCGACGCACTGTGTAACATAAAATATATTATTTCTCATATATATATCAAACATGTATACCTAGTGGCTGAAATTTCTGCATCCTTGGATGCTGTAACGAGCAAAGGATGCATACGTACAGAATCCAACATAGGTCTAATAGTATGAGTAAATGTAGCCAATTGATCGCGTTGTATGTATTGTTGTTTCAAGTATGATATAAAGTTGCAAGGATACATCGCATACAGTCTATGAAATAAGCTGTATAATCCTACCTACAATGGTGGGATGATAAGTAAAATTTTGTTAGCTTTTCCATCTCTCTTATTTATAAACGATCATTAAATCACATCGTTATTCACCTGCAAATGTATGAGGTACAAATGGTCCTTGTCGATGACGTTCGGTACTGTACTGGTTGAAGTAAAAGGGGTAGAAGAAGAAAGTAAAGATGACTGATAATGATAATAAGAGGCCAAACGGCCAAATACCTCAAATATTTCTGGTAAATATGGCCCTAGAGCAGCAGGTAACATTGGTAACAACATCACTAACAAAAGTAGGGCACTCATAAGTGGTAATATATCTGCCTCCACCTTGAAAAATACGGTCTTGCAAAACTATCCATTTATTTAATTCCTCTTCAAATATTTATAAAGTTATTTCTAGATTGAATGTCATATTGTTCAACATGTAAAATTTTAATTGTGATTTGCATTAAGTACTATATAGTGAATAATTATTAGCATATAAAAAGTTATAAATATAGTATAAATTATTTCAAAGTAAATTATACATATATATGAAATGACTCGTAATTCTACAACAATAATTAAAGGCATATATGGAGTTCACAAATTGATGAGAAAAATTAAAAATATGTATATACATGTTTATGTATACCAATGAAGAAAGAAAAGAAATGTTTTACCTTAAGTAATTTAAGTAGATCTCTGAATAAAGCATGATTGGCTAGCTTGTACAACCAAGTAGGCTGACGTCTGGCTATATGCCCAAGTAATGTGAGCGCTTGTATTCTTTGTCCGCTATTGCCAGGTTTTGAAAAGACATCCGATAAACGATCCAACAGATGCTTGTCATGTGGATCTCGAACTCCTGCTAATACTTCGGCAGTCCTTAAGGAATTTGTGGAGAGATAATAATCAAATAATCCACTTACCAACCAATTGTCCTTAGCTGTAAATGTAATCCGTCACAATTAAAAAAAGTTAAGTAACTACAACCTAATTACTCTAACACACTAGAATGTGCACATATTACTTACTGCATAAGAAATGATCGTGAAATACTTTCTTGATCTCCTCGACCTCTCCAAGTTTATTGGATTCTAGCAGGTAGAATAATTCGGCAGCAGCACTGATACTCATTTTGACGATTGCCTTTAATGGTGGCTCGGCTCAAAAGGTGCTATTCTATCATGATCTTTTGATCAGGCGGTAGAAATCGGTCTGATAACGTCGCTTTGAGGCATCTGCCGCTTATCATGCAAGACAGGCATCATATGGAGCGATGATGCTAAAATACCTACCGAAGAAAAAACAAAATATATATATATAAAGAACACAAAATCTAGCAGATCGCTAGACGATCGTAATCTTCTGTATCAGTTAGTTTGCGATATTCTACCGGAGTACTAGGAGCAAATACCAATTGCGAGAATCAAAGAGAACGAAACAATCGAATCGAAGACAAGAATAATGATCATGCGAATTTGCGTACGAATTATCGTCGAATTTACACAGACTGTCAGCATGCATATTCTTTTTTCTTTACAATACAACGGAAGAGTGTTACGGGGCCGTGTAACCGCAAAACTGTCATTTGCATTAACGACCGGTCGGTCGATGATCCTTGCGAGACTCTACAGGACGCGGTCGTCGCGAGATCGAGTAACCGGATTGTAAATTCGGACGTGTCCGAGAATGAATTATTAACAGAAAATAACTCACCCGAATATCATCGAGTATCTCGAACAGATTTCCGTGAGTTTTATGGCGACTGGCGAGTGGTGGGGTGGGGAAAATATCTCTTTTCCGGGCTGCCTTGTGGCGTTCCTGCGGCAATATTTGAAATTACTTTGTTACCAACTTCATTTAGGGCTAATTTCACCAAGCCCGGTTAGATTAACCGACGGTTAAAATTAGCAGGGTGGCCAATAGAAAATAGAGGTGAAGGAAAATCAAGCATTCTTATCATTTCAGTTGGAACCCTGCTAATTTTAACCGTCGGTTAAGTGCCGGTCTACAATAAATGATTTAAGCCCTAAGTCTTAAGAAATTGACTAATCACAGTCGAGTATTCTCCTCATACTTGATTGTGATTGGTCAATTTCTTAAGGTTTAAAGGACAATAGGTGGTTTAAGCCCTAAGCCTTAAGAAAATAGACTAAGTGCCGGTCTACAATAGGTGATTTAAGCCCTAAGCCTTAAGAAATTGACCAATCACAATCAAGTATGAGGAGAATACTCGACTGTGATTAGTCAATTTCTTAAGACTTAGGGCTTAAATCATTTATTGTAGACCGGCACTTAACCGACGGTTAAAATTAGCAGGGTTCCAACTGAAATGATAAGAATGCTTGGTTTTCCTTCACCTCTATTTTCTGTTGGCCACCCTGCTAATTTTAACCGTCGGTTAATCTAA